CGGCTACATGACCAGACGCAGTAACCGGAGGAGACGCAGTAGTCAGTGTGTACAGACTCGACCCAGGCCGACGGGTGAACGTGGCCAGGTGGCGGCCCGTCCGAGAGCAAGTGCAGTGGGTCACACGCTGACCTCCAGGGGTGAACTGGTCAACCCACACGTCCTGGAGGTCAGCTCCACTCACCAAGTTCGTAGAGAACGAGGGGAGGTGGAGTCCCGACAGCAAGCCCGACGGGGCCGCAGGACACGGTAGAACCGTGGAAGAGTGCGCAAAGACTGGGCCCCCAGAGGGTCAGCCAGGGAGACTGCGACAGGCCGACTGAGCGGCGTGAGTGTGGTGCTGCCGCGAAAGAAGGAGCGCGAAGCACCAGAGTCAAGTGTGAAAGTGTGCAAGGCCTCAGTAGGTGCAGTACTAGAGAGAGCAGACTCACCAGCACCTGGAGCAGCAGACTCACTAGTACCTGGAGCAGTAGACTCACTAGCACCCAGAGCAGCAGCCTCAATGCCTGGGTCGGGCGGAACACACAGGTAACAGTCACCCTCAGCACTATCAGTCACAGCATGCATGGCAGCAAGGATAGCATCGAAATCAAGATCAAAGATAGCAACGTTTTGCTTAAGCAGATCACCCCAGCGTGGGAGCTCAACAGCGTCAGGAAACTGGGGCGCGCCAGGCGTCAGTCAGGCAACGAAGCAGCGCTGCACAGTGTGTGGCAGCCCGCACGTCTCCCCACGGCGCCCGCCGGTTCGAAGAACGTAAGTGCAGGGACCAACACCCCTAGACCTCCACGCCCAGCGTACCACTCACGAAGCTGCTGAGCCGGCGGGGTCTCACGGGAACGCGGCTGCTGCTGGCGCTGGCTACCACCAAAGCCTCCATGCTGCGCGGCTCCACCGCGACCAGCACCACCGCTGCCGCCACCTCCACCACCGCTGCCGCTGCCTCCACCACCCCACCGCCGTCACCGAAGCCCCCACTCCCGCCACCACCCCCACCTCCACCGCCACCCCCTCCGCCTCTTCCATCGCCTCCACCGCCGCCCCCACCGTCCCCTCCACCACCCTTGCCCCCCTTGCCCTTGCTATTGCGGCGCCTCCCACTAGGAGCAGACGCAGCCCGACCTCCTCAATGCCAACGAGGTTGACAGCAGCAGCAGAAGCAACAGAGGGGAGAAGGGGGACAGGGGAACACCCCTCAAAGAAAGGGGCGCGAGGGTTGCCGCGAGAAGCACCTACAACAAAGATACTCTTCTCAGCTGCAGTGAGGCACTCCTCTAGCAGGTCAATAGTGAGCTCGGTGGGGCAAAGGGAGAGAAAGTGGTCCCTGACTGAAGCAAGGGAGTCAGGGAGGCGGGTGACTAGGTAGTAAAGTGTGATGTACATGGGGGGTGGGTTCTTGGCACAGAACTCAGTGGAAGCGCAGCTCGGTAGCGGGCGTCACTAGTGCGGAGGTGAGTAATGAGGTCAGCAACTGTGGCAAAAGTGGCAAGGTCAGGGAACAGGTATGGTAGTATGAGGCGGCTGAGGGCAGCAGTGGAAGGGGAGGAGTAGCGCGCTACTACAGCGTCGTACAAAGACTGAGCAGTCTTGTACTGGCCAAAGTGCACGCGCTCAGCAGACGGCAGGTGACTACGAACAGCAAGGCGAGCAACAGCGTCATGAGTGGTCCACTGCGAGCGAACCGTACTATCAGTAGTGGCAGCAGGTGCAGTAGAGACTCCGGACGTGTGATCGAAAAGGGATACCGCGTCCCTAGAGTCACACTGAAGAAAGAGCTGCAGGTCGTCAACCCACACGTCAAAGTCAACTGCGCGCCCCTCAGCATCAAAGGTAAGAACAGTAGGGCTAGCCATAGCGGCAGTAGCAGCAGTAGCAGCAGTGGCTGCAGAAGTTGCTACTGCCGCTATGGCTAGCCCTACTGTTCTTACCTTTGATGCTGAGGGGCGCGCAGTTGACTTTGACGTGTGGGTTGACGACCTGCAGCTCTTTCTTCAGTGTGACTCTAGGGACGCGGTATCCCTTTTCGATCACACGTCCGGAGTCTCTACTGCACCTGCTGCCACTACTGATAGTACGGTTCGCTCGCAGTGGACCACTCATGACGCTGTTGCTCGCCTTGCTGTTCGTAGTCACCTGCCGTCTGCTGAGCGCGTGCACTTTGGCCAGTACAAGACTGCTCAGTCTTTGTACGACGCTGTAGTAGCGCGCTACTCCTCCCCTTCCACTGCTGCCCTCAGCCGCCTCATACTACCATACCTGTTCCCTGACCTTGCCACTTTTGCCACAGTTGCTGACCTCATTACTCACCTCCGCACTAGTGACGCCCGCTACCGAGCTGCGCTTCCCACTGAGTTCTGTGCCAAGAACCCACCCCCCATGTACATCACACTTTACTACCTAGTCACCCGCCTCCCTGACTCCCTTGCTTCAGTCAGGGACCACTTTCTCTCCCTTTGCCCCACCGAGCTCACTATTGACCTGCTAGAGGAGTGCCTCACTGCAGCTGAGAAGAGTATCTTTGTTGTAGGTGCTTCTCGCGGCAACCCTCGCGCCCCTTTCTTTGAGGGGTGTTCCCCTGTCCCCCTTCTCCCCTCTGTTGCTTCTGCTGCTGCTGTCAACCTCGTTGGCATTGAGGAGGTCGGGGCTGCGTCTGCTCCTAGTGGGAGGCGCCGCAATAGCAAGGGCAAGGGGGGCAAGGGTGGTGGAGGGGACGGTGGGGGCGGCGGTGGAGGCGATGGAAGAGGCGGAGGGGGTGGCGGTGGAGGTGGGGGTGGTGGCGGGAGTGGGGGCTTCGGTGACGGCGGTGGGGGTGGTGGAGGCAGCGGCAGCGGTGGTGGAGGTGGCGGCAGCGGTGGTGCTGGTCGCGGTGGAGCCGCGCAGCATGGAGGCTTTGGTGGTAGCCAGCGCCAGCAGCAGCCGCGTTCCCGTGAGACCCGCCGGCTCAGCAGCTTCGTGAGTGGTACGCTGGGCGTGGGAGGTCTAGGGGTGTTGGTCCCTGCACTTACGTTCTTCGAACCGGCGGGCGCCGTGGGGAGACGTGCGGGCTGCCACACACTGTGCAGCGCTGCTTCGGTTGCCTGACTGACGCCTGGCGCGCCCAGTTTCCTGACGCTGTTGAGCTCCCACGCTGGGGTGATCTGCTTAAGCAAAACGTTGCTATCTTTGATCTTGATTTCGATGCTATCCTTGCTGCCATGCATGCTGTGACTGATAGTGCTGAGGGTGACTGTTACCTGTGTGTTCCGCCCGACCCAGGCATTGAGGCTGCTGCTCTGGGTGCTAGTGAGTCTACTGCTCCAGGTACTAGTGAGTCTGCTGCTCCAGGTGCTGGTGAGTCTGCTCTCTCTAGTACTGCACCTACTGAGGCCTTGCACACTTTCACACTTGACTCTGGTGCTTCGCGCTCCTTCTTTCGCGGCAGCACCACACTCACGCCGCTCAGTCGGCCTGTCGCAGTCTCCCTGGCTGACCCCTCTGGGGGCCCAGTCTTTGCGCACTCTTCCACGGTTCTACCGTGTCCTGCGGCCCCGTCGGGCTTGCTGTCGGGACTCCACCTCCCCTCGTTCTCTACGAACTTGGTGAGTGGAGCTGACCTCCAGGACGTGTGGGTTGACCAGTTCACCCCTGGAGGTCAGCGTGTGACCCACTGCACTTGCTCTCGGACGGGCCGCCACCTGGCCACGTTCACCGTCGGCCTGGGTCGAGTCTGTACACACTGACTACTGCGTCTCCTCCGGTTACTGCGTCTGGTCATGTAGCCGCATCT